TGCTACTCCCAAAAGGTGCAAACAAAGACAGAAACAGCAGGCTACCTGTACAGTCACCCAAAGTCTCACAGTATCACAGGGGGACCAACATTGGCTAAGGCCTAAAGTATCAGATGGACCATCTCAGAAGCAGGGAAATTGAAAAACTGTCTTACTTTGACTGGGCAGGGTTAAGCAGTCTTCTTTAAGTTTATCTCCTGCAAGCACAGTTAGGACAGCATGACCAAGGTTAGCAGTCGGGGTGGGGGCAGTTCTTTGCCCAAGAGGCCAGTAGCAGAGGAGAGAATGAACTCCAAATAGTGTGTCATCTGTGCCCAACAAATGAGAGAAAAAATTATGATGGGTAGGGCAGGCAGAGAGAATCTGTAAGGAGTCGAGAAAATGGAAATAGGAAATACATGGTCAAAAATATTATATAAAACACTTCTTCTATTAAAAGAAGAATTAGTGTGCTAGGAAAACCACAAAGAAGAGTAAGATCAGTAACACCAAGACCACTATTGTCTCCTGAGTGATGGTGGGCTTTCTTCTTTTTATTTTAAAGCCCCCAAGAAGCAAGCTTCACTTCACTGTGATACTGCATTGTCTGGCAGTATTACCTGTGCCTGTCATCACTCTGCTGCATCCTCTCCTTCACTTGTAACTTAAAGTGTTTTCTGACTCTTACACTGTCTTCTAAGTACATTGGCCACATTTCAGATCTTTCAAAAGAGTCAAAAGGATTTACATATGGTTTCTTGTCATATTCACTAAAGCCATTTGAAAAAAAATGTACCAAACACTTAAGATTTCCTTATTTTAGGCCTAATGGTGCCATAAACATTTTCTGTCTGTGGTCACTGAAAGACGGTAAACCTTTAGGAGAAAAAGAGATAGTATAAATAGAGGGAGACGTTGTAAGTTCAAAGAGAAATGAGGCACTAGAGAAATGTCTGGAGAGCTACAAAGATGACACCAACTAATAATCTAAGCAACAGAGGAGATGATACCTTAAATGTCCTCTCCTGATGAGATTAATGACTAATTCATATGCCATTGTATAGCTTTCATACAGTAGCTGATGGAAGTAGAAGCAGACTCCCACAGCTAAACCTTGAACTGAAATCCAGATGCAGAAAAGGAGGACTGATGAGCAAAGGGGTCAATACCAGGCTGGTGAAACCCACAGAAACATCTGACCTGAACAAGGAGAAACGCTTGGTCCCCAGACTGATAGCTGGGAAACCAGCATGGGACTGATGCAGACCCCCTGAATGTGGGTGTCAGTGAGGAGACCTTGGAAATCTATGGGGCCTCTTGTAGTGGATCAGTACTTATGGTTACCATAGGAATGGACTTTAGGAGCCCATGCCAAATGGAGGGATACTCCCTGAGCCTACACAAAGGGGGTTGGCCTAGGCCCTATCCCAAAGAATATGACAGACTTTGAAGATCCCTATGGAAGGACTGACCCTCCCTGGGGAGCAGAAAGGGTATGGGATAGGTAGGGCGTTAGTTGGGGGGGGGCAGGGGAGGAGGGGAGGGAGAGGGACCTGGGATTGACATGTAAAATAATTTTCTTTCTAATAAGAAAGGGAGAAAAATTAATAAACTGAAACAAACTGTATTATTATAAATTCAACATTATGCCAAGAGATAAAAGAACCTCTGTCCAATGGAAGAACATAATGCGCACATATTAACTCCCACCAAATGGAGCAGTGTCACCCTATGTGCACATGTATGTTCATAGCATCTGTGGAGCAGATCACCATGGTGGGCACAGGGAAACCTAAAGCAAGGCCTTTCTAAATTCAAAAGCCCTATCATTTATAATTAGAAAGGAGTTTAGAACGAATGTCTACAGATGGATTAGTAAATGTGAATGAAAGCAAGCATAAGTGTATTGCTGCTTCTGAGACTCAGGTATCTGGCTGCATTGGCATATTTTAGATATACCGTCCCTTCTCATTTTCTGTTGACCATCTTTCTGATGGATGACAAGACACCAATTCTGTATCTCATCTTAAAGGAACAAGTTAGCGGTTCTGTCTCTTCTTTTTTCTATTGAATTCATTATTATTTCTTGTAATGGAATTTGGAGAAAATCCAACAAAATGCACCTGACTTTATGTCAATGAGGCATTCAGGAAAAACTGAAATGCTCATCACTGTTACATGAAACCCAAACCAGGATGATCTACTGACTCAAAATGTTACAGTGTTGTGTATTTTCTTTCTAAAATTTCCATATTGAATTATACATAATTGTGGATTTTTTATGACATTTTCACACATGTATAAA